AAAAAAATCAGTACTAACCCTGTATCATTAATATTGATGTGTTACTCAACACTACTTCAGGAGGTACATCAGTACTAGCTCTACACCTTATCTCAGTATTATTATTATGTTCATAGGCTTTTGCTTGTAGCTCTGCTCTTATAGTGCCGGCATTACTACTTGTTGCTACAGTAAATCCCTTAGCTACAACATCTGTATTAGTATCTGATAGGTTATTAATTCTGAAAGTGAGTTCATCAGCCACAGCTTCACAAGAGAAGACAACAGTAGAGTTGAGTGTCGTATTGATAGACACTGGCTGTACTGTTATATCTATTATACATATATATTAAGAGGTTAAAATACAGTATTACTTACTAGCACAATGACTTAACTGAAGTAGGAGGGCAATAAAGAACAAATCGGATAGAAACTTCATCATTGACATTGCATTGCAAGAAAGAAAGAAGGCTAGCAGGTATAATGGTCATAGATATTAGAGTACAGGAAAGGCCCGGATTGGAAACCACCGTTCGCGGCAGGAAATGCTAGTTGTCTATACCGTATTGTATTCAAATTAAATTTTTATTTAAAAGGATAAAAATATTGAAAAACACAAGAATGAACCACAGTTGTAACAAAGCAGAGGTAACAAAGCGTCTCGAGACAGGAATGGATCCAATTAGTTATGTGGGTGGTTTTATATCTGTAATACGCATGCGCATTACTCCCTCATAGACAAAAATCACAAAATGGCTGCCACCAACTGAGTGTTTTTCATATTTCTAGTGCTGTCTTTGTGGTTCCAGGCCTTTTTGCTAGTTGTTTGCATGAGTTGGATCACTGATTAGACTAATAGAACCTTGCACTAGGTAATTTATTCTCAGACTGCTATAAATTATGCCTTTTTATATACTGTGACTATTGTAATCACCTATGTATATATATAGAATGTATCTTCTAATTATTCTTGTGTGAGGAAATGGGCTTTTTAGTCTTTCCTGGGTTATCATTTGTTCCTTCCACCACAATTACTCATTTCAGAACTGTAAGTAATGTGTCTGTCAATTTAAGCCTCATTATGGGGAATATGAGGGATTTAATAGGAGGTTCATCACTCTGAGAATGCCCCAGGGTAGGGATTTTTCTCCAACAAGCCTATAGGAAGACTTCGCTAGTTTGACCAAGTTACGTTTCAAAAATGCTAAGTTTACCCAGCAGAGCTGAGTTCAGTAGCAGTTGAGTGGCTGTTTAACGTTCCTTAAATTTAGTAGGGGATTTGACTGAAGGGAACAGCCCCAGGGGTAGTGATTTAATTAATTAATTAATTTGAAACCCTAACTATGCCCTATTATGACCTGTACTGGGATATTTATTTTTTATAGGCATTTTATACCTTGCCAGCGAATTGGATCACAAGAGGTTGCTCATGAGTTTTTGCTTACATGTGTAGTAGGAGACTAGGAGCTCAAGTAGGTACAAGGTTGAGCTGTAAGCTGTGTATAATTATAGACCACTAGCAATAAAAATTGATTACATAGGAAGATTATTAGAAATTTTTACGGTTGTAAGGTGTGGTTTAGGATGAAATAAATTCAGCTGCCATTTTGGTTGACAACTTTTAATGGACAACATATGGGCTGGCATGAAAACAAACCTGTATTGAGAATTCTGGGGCAAATTGGACCACATCTTTTGGAGAAGAAGCTTAAAGGCAGGTCTTTTTTCTTATAACAAGCACATTTTAGCTTTTAATAGAGCTACAGCAGGTAAGTGAGGCATTTTCTTTTTGCATTCATTGCCGACTTCCTTAACAAACTTTCCAACGAAAATGACAGCCAATTATGACATGTGGGCAGATACCGTATATAAAATTAATGAAATTCATTTCCAATTCTCACTTCCAGTGGTCTATAATTAGTTTTTAAGTCAGTATAG